CAACAGGCCCTGCTAAAAAGTTTGTCCCCATCTTTTTTAGAAGCCCCCTTTAAATACTGAAAGGCTGCAATAAGGTCTCCCCAAAGCCTTCTCTTCTCCAGGCTGAACAACCCCAACTCTCTCAGCCTTTCTTCACAGGAGAGGTGTTCCAGCCCCCTGATCATTTTCGTGGCCCTCTTCTGGACCTGCTCCAACAGGTCCGTGTCTTTCTCATGCTGAGGGCTCCAGAGCTGGACGCAGTACCCCAGGTGAGGTCTCACCAGAGCAGAGTCGAGGGGCAGAATCACCTCCCTCGACCTGCTGGCCACGCTGCTTTTGATGCAGCCCAGGATATTATTGGCCTTCTGGGCTGCGAGCGCACATTGCTGGCTCACGTCCAGCTTTTCATCCACCAGTACCCCCAAGTCCTTCTCGGCAGGGCTGCTCTCAGTCCCTTCATCCCCCAGCCTGTACTGATACTGGGGGTTGCCCTGACCCAGGTGCAGGGCCTTGCACTTGGCCTTGTTGAACCTCATGAGATTGACATGGGCCCACATAAAGAGATTATCAAAATTAATCCCGTTTAACTCGTTCTCAGAAGTCTCTAATAAATGTGCAAATATACTTTCTTTTAGTAGGCAGCTTTATCAGACATTTTTCTCCCAAGTGATCTCTACTTAGGCATTTTCTGTCAACACATGAGGTGCCAGAGAAGCGGCTCTTAGATGCAGCTAGGGGTTTGTTTTGGGCAAGGCTTATGTATTGTTTTTTTCAATAATTCCTTTTAGAGTATCTATTATACCAGTATCTTTCCCTTTAGTGTTGTCTTACATGTTACATGCAAAATGCATAGCTCAAATGATCGTGTTATTTCTTTATATTCTCACATGGCATACAAGTCAACGATTTTGAACATAAACAGACAATGAAGGACTAGGGGAAAAAAAAATCAATGCTTAAAGCAAGTGTGCCAAAGTTTGTATTTGAGAATTTGGATGACTAATAGTGAAATAAAAGGAAACATCATAGGATGGTTTCATTGTTGTCTTTGAGAGAGAATACACTTCAGAGAAGGTAAAGTCAAAACCACAAATAGTTTAATTTATACAGAGAGAAACAAAATATCCACATTGCACATTTTCCTCTAAAAATCAAGTTTATCTAAAAAAGCAACTTGGGATGTCTAATGGCAGTCTTCTAGCTGGTCTGGTTATTGGTATTGAATGTAACCATACGTACAAAAACATACAGGGGGGTTAAAACATTATTTATTTGTTTTTTGTACAACCACAGATGTTACTTCAAAATCTGTAATCTCTACTATAAAACTTTTATATTTCTGGGACTTAAAATCCCCTTGACAGTGGCTTCTAGCCTTTTGTTTTACTTTAACATAGAAGGAGGCAAGCTGGAACAGGCTTCATACAAAATTACGAATGCAACACAAATTGGAGTGGAAAATGAAGAGGTTATTCCACATGGCTTGTTCACGAGAACCCAGCGATCATACCTTTACAGAGATTTACAGCGTAAAAGGTGGCAGGGGTGGCAGGTTTCCGTAAGACCGGCCTCCCACCTCTGTTTCTACAATTGAACAGAAGAGCTGAGGGAGGTTTAGCATATCCTGTACAGCACATACATACAATGAAACGACTGTTTTCACTTTCACTACGCGTGAAGTGACGTAAGTTGCTCGGGAATGCTCTGGAATTTATTTTATAAGCATAAAAGAATAGCTACAACTGAAGTAAATAAACTGTTCCTTTTTTATTTGATGGCCGAAGGCATGTTATTTCACTGTACATCATACATCATAGGAATTAAGTAGGGGAGGAGGAGACATCACAGAAACTCTTTATTTGAAAAAAAAAAAAAAATAGAAAAGTGCCTTTTTTTCCCCAAAAGGGAGAAAAGCCAGAAGGCAGCACCTGTGTATTTCTGTAAGCACCATTGGTCCAGCTTGTGTTGCTAAGTACACCTTTAGAAAGAATGTACAACCACTGTGTTAAAAATGCCTTACTGAAACCTTGGTTGAAAGGTTTCTCCTTGTTTGTATTTCTCCTTCATTCCTTATTTTTTCTCAGCTGTCTGTGCAGGAAGTAAACTGATGCCGACACTTGGCGGCACTTGCGTTGCCCATTCATGGCCCTTTCATGTTCTTACCAACTCTCTGTCCAGCCTGCATTCTGCAAGACGACGGCTCGCAGTACCCAGGAGGGCCGGGAGGGCCAGGAGGACCAGGAACCCCGGGCTGACCGGCCACCCCAGGGAGACCTCGTTCACCATCACGGCCTTCCCTGCCATAGCTGGGTTTGCCTGGTTCACCTGGAAAAGTGGATGCAGGTCTAAAAATTGGCAGCATATGACTTGCTTAGTATATGTGTAGCTTTACTGAACATCCTGTTCTTCAAAGCTGTGTGAAGATGGCTTTTTACTGCTCTCAGTGGATTCCCCGGAGAGGTGCCTGCTTAGAGGGACGGTTTTCTTCTAACAGCCAACCAGGCTGTGTTTACACATCTCTACAGCAATGGAATTTCAGGCCCAACCCTCTCCAGTTATACTGGAGCAGCTCTGCCACTATAAAAATCTATGCAGTACAACTGATTGCAGCACTGCAGACAACCCTGTTGGCGATGCGTATGAAGGTGTAGATGCTACTCGCTACTTCAGAGTTCTGTTAGTGCTCCAGAAAGAGACTATCAAGAATTTATTTTTACTCTCCACTCAGATGTGTCAGGGAAATAGATGTATAGAGCGGAACTGCTGAGCACTAAAGTATCTTTTTAGTTCTAAATCTTCAATGAAGGGATGAAATACAGTGATCTTAGTAAGCCTCTTCCAATGATAAATTACAAAAGAAGACAACACCAAGTTTCACAAACGTCCTAGCTATCAGTCTATACTCAACTGATTTATTTTTTTCTCCTTTTTACAAAGAGAACAAATTTTGGTAGTTTCTGCCTATATATACACACACTGAAACACACTGTAGAGAGATACTGATGGAAATAACATGTTTATTTTCACTCACTGGCCACTAGAGGCCAGCTGTGCTGCACTTATCAGCAAGAATCTGTCCTGGACTCCTGTTACAGAACACTGCAATTAATTACTACACAAATAAAGGAGAACTGTATTTTGAATGTCCTAAATTATGAATGGCGATTTTTGAAGCCTGCTGTTGCTGCCAGTGAGATAATCTGGGTTTGTGGCCTTTTTTTGTTTTATTTTATATATAAATAAATACTTATATAAAAAAAAAAAAGAGGCGATCACATACATATACACACGTGTGATTGCCTCTTTTTTTTTTTTAATGCCTTGTATACATTTTTCCTAGTCTTTCTCCACTGAGATAAATGGGGTGGTAGCTCTTTAGTAAAAGAGCTTTTAATTCTGATGCGTGACTGTATTCTTACCTACGAAGTAAAAATTATGACGTTCTGTTATTTGGAAGCTTATTGCTTAATGGACACCTTTTATCTTTTCAAGGCAGCTTGAGGTACCAGTTCTGAAAAAATTTTTGCTACATCTTTTCTTTTTTATCCTCATCCTTGTTATATTTACCTGGAAGACCTCTTGGTCCAGGGTAACCTTTCAGTCCTCTGCCTGGAAATCCTCTTTCTCCTCTTTCTCCTGGTTCACCTAAAGCAAATTCATGAAATATTAGTTACAGCCTGCTTGGAGTATTACTTTCAGTAAGTAAGTTCCCTCTCAGAGGTGAACAGCTAACAAGCAAAGAATTCAGGTGGCTGTATGTATTGTTAGCATCTTTGAACGATGTCCTGACACATGTCCTTGTAAGAGGTTTGGGGTTGGTTTGGGTTTTTCTCCCCCATTTGAGTTATACTCTGAAGTAGACATGTTGGAGGGGAAAAAAACCACCTGGGGCTGGACAGTAAGTACCACATGAAATACGCCATAGCCTAGATAACAAAAATAAACTAAACTCACAGAACAACACAGGCTGTTTTGGAATACAGACTGAGGGTACTGGCAAATGGCTTTTGCAAGACCATGTGAACTCCGCTAATAAGTAAAAATTCTCAAGTGCTGGTCCTTGAGACAGCTAGTGCAGAGAAGAGAAGCTGGCTTGCACACATTACAGTTTTCTGTTGACATCCACATAAGACGTTCATAAAAGTAAAACAAAGGACTTTGTTCTCGTAGACTGGTATTACAGACACTTTTCTTTGGTGGGTGCCCAGCTTTTCTTCAAACTCATATGTTGCTCCAAACAAGAAGCATCTTAGTAAGAAGAAGGTTTTTTTGTTGTTTTAGTTGTAAAGTTCAAATTCTGTTCACTGTATATATTCCATAAATGTACATATATCTACTATTCATGAATACCCTATGTAAACTCTTGATTTTATTTTTTTTTGCTGCAAGTCGAAAGTTGCAAGTATATGCCTAATAATGTTTGAGTGAGCTTTGTTTTATACTTCCATACTTTCTTTTCCTGCAGTGAGGAGAGTTGGAATAGACCATTAAGTTTGGGTCTTGCCTAGAAATGGCACAGCAGAAACGAGGAAGCTATGTAAAGGAACACAGGAGTCAGTACAAAAGTCCAAGTTTCAATAAAAGATGCACACAGGGTACTAGAGGAGGAATCTTAACTCTACGCTTCAGACTGCCTAGTCAACATGGAGATTCAGCCTGTCTTTGTAAATACAGCTACTGGAAGTGCTGATGTCAGGTTGCCCATATATACTTCTGCTATTTCCAGCTACTGAACACTTTGGAATAGTGTTTACTGCCGGTTACCCCAAACTTCTCCAACTTCTTATTTCTGATTCTGCCCTCCTTCACTACCCCAGTCACTATAACCTCCTTCCTTGAGCCAGCTCTTTTTGACGCTGCTGTTGTTGATGCTGTTAAAATCACTGTACCTTTGTACCTTCTGCTCTTTCTCATGGTAACACGTTCTTGTGTTTCTCTCTCCTCTTTATCGTGCCCTTCTAAACCATTCTCAACATCCTCCTCCTTTTCCCTTTTATCACATGTCCTAGGTACCCTTTTCCTCTCAGTCCCATCTCAGACAACTCCCCAGATGGATGGGGAAAGTCATTTCATCTCTGTGACCTCTGTGGACCTCTGGTAACTACCAGGAACTGAGAGTGAAGCACTGAGATTTTTTTCAGGGTGCCTGCCATGTACCATCATGATAGCTCTTGCACATAAGAGCATTCACCACTTCTCTTGTATCTGTAATTGTATTTCAAGGTTTACTGTAAGGTAACTTGGACTTTCATGACAATTATGATAGGAAACAAAGCATTTTGCTTGTTTGGGGCTTTTTTTATGCTCTCTAGATTTTTTTTAATATTAACACAGTGCAGCCTGCTGTGTGATGAATCAAATTCAGCATATCAGATCACCTTTTTATCTCCATTTTTTGTTGCTTCTGTGAACACAGATGACATTACATTAAATGAAAACAGTAACAGAGCTCCAGTGACAATGCTGTTAAGGTTTGCTTTGTTTGTATTCTATTCCTTCTCTCAAAGGTTTTCCCAATTTTACTTTCAAATAAAACTTGAGACAAAAGTAAATGCTCTAATCCAGCGACAGACCAGCTTTGTGCAGAAATACAATTTTTAAATAAAACCTTCCTTCAAGAAAACAAATCAAAACCACCGCTGAATAGAAACTAATACATACATAGCGGTCATAAGACTTTGCAGAAAATTCTACTGTATAATCCTTTGGAGGTCTATAAACCCTCTCAGTCAGGAACAAAAGAGATTAACTTAGATCAAAGTTTTTTTGTAAAGTATAAGGTTAGTCAATTTTATTATGGATTTGTTGTTTCCAAAGAATCAATCGATTGTAGTACGTGGTGCAATGATGTTAAATGGCTCAAGTATTATACCCAAATAAAAGAGGCAGATTGTTGTCAGTCACTTGTAATGTGAGAAACTGGATAGACTTAGAAAAGTAGGCTAGAGATTAGCAAATGAATCTGACTGTTTACGTTAGCTTTTGGGACTGCAAGTCTTGCGGAAGTTTCCTCTACCCACAACCAGACTGGGTAGAGGAAAGAGAGAATCACTGCTGGAACTTCTCAGCATATGAAAAACACAAACCTCAAAAGTCCATGAGAGGGTAAATTAATATTAGGAATCTGACTCAGCTGCTTACTTCTAGTTCAAGGCAGATGCCTGTCCTTTTTCATATTGTATAAGTGATTTGATGACAAAAAACGGATTTATAAACAAGTCTTGCTGAGGCCAGGCCAATATGCCTTTTAATCACTGGGTCAACTGAGGCAACAGTTACAGGAAACAGCTTAGGTTCCTAATTCAGGATCTCTTTGGACTTTACATGTGTACGATATACATCCACAATCTATGATCGAAAGGAAAAAAAACCGCCAAAACCACAAAAAATTGGAGCAGTCAACAACTGAAAGCCAGTTACAGAATTTCTTACCTTTAGGACCTTTACGACCGATCTCACCAGGGGGACCTTTAAGGCCAGGCAAGCCACGGGGTCCAAGCTGTCCTGGGAAGCCATTTTCGCCAGCAGGCCCTGGAGCACCTGGTGGCCCCGGTCGGCCAGGAAGACCTGGAGCACCAAATTCTGGCCTCCTAAGACTGGCTGCCAGCTGAGCTAGTTGTTCTGCAATGAACAGGAAGACAGAATTAAGCAGTAAGTGGCTCTGAATAGAGAGATTCTCATGTTCACTGAAGAAGAACGTGTGTTCTCTGCTGCAGAAACCGACAGATCATGGTACAGCACCTTCCTTATGTACAAGGCTATTTACAAAGTTTGTTACATGTAAGATATTATCTTAGTACTACTAGAGGGAAACTGCATAGGCACACTGTGAAGCTGGTCACTCTGAAACCTACATCTTGAACATTTAATGTTTGCAAGCTGAAATTACTTAAATGTCTATGGTTTATTTAGAAATGTCTTTATAATTTTCTATGTCATTTAAATTTCAACCATCTCGTAAGAAAACTTACTCATGCAATTGCTGCCTCTTAAAAGAGCAAATATCTCTCTTCCTTACTACATGTTAATCCTTATTAAGATCCGTCTTTACAAGAAGGAACAGCTGAAAAGCATGAGGGCAGTCATCTACCTTGGACTGTGAAGTAAGTGCAGGCCTTCTTTTTCAGAGGAAAGTGGTACTCGTGAGCTCAAGTTTGATAAATAATTGAACATTTTATGTTGATCTTTTCTTAAGGTAAATCAGCAGGAGCTTTGCTCTTCATCAGGCATAGGATCAGCTTGCCATTCCTTGGAATGGTCTAAGCTAGCTATTTTCTTTTCCTCATCCTCCTTTCAGACCACTGCTCTAACACCATGAGAGCAGTCCTCTCTTTGCTTACAGTTTTTATTCTAGACTTCAAATCCATCTTCCAAGCATGCCTTAGAAATAACTTTGGATACAGCCACACACAATTCCATATGACATTTGCTATAAAGTCTGCAAGACTTGGCAAAAACTAGTTATTTTGTGCCCACAACCAAGAAAAATTAAGATGGGGTGGGGTGGTGAGGTGGTGCAAAGATCTGAAATAAAACAGGAACTATGGCTAGCAGATACATGAGGAAGACTGGGGATAGCAATCTGTGGGCAAAGCCTACTAAGGAGCTGAACTTCAGTTACAGTTGTCTTTAAGTTGACAAGGTTCCAGGGACCCATTTGGATTGATTTCTTCTTTTTTTTTCTTTTGTCTTTTTTTTTTTAAAGCATGACAGCATTGACAATTATAGGGGCTCTCAAGAGGGATGCAATGAAGACAGTCTAGATTTTTCCCATATCCTTCTCTTCACTGCTAATTCTGATGGTTATGAATAAATTCAAGCATCATATCTGATTCCACTATAATCCTCCTTAATATTACTGTGTCTTTCAAGGGATCACCTTAGAAGGCCTTTTTATCCTATTTATAGAAAGTTTAAAAAAAAAAAAAATACCCTTTTGGGCAGTATCAAGAACAGTTTTGACTACTGATAATTTTTAGATTAAATCATGAGCAGCAATTTCATTCTGGTAAACACTTAACATTACAAAGGCATAATATCCCTAAGGGCATCTTCAATAGCAAGTACTGAAAAGTATCTTTTGTGCTTACAGGGCAGTATAAATTTTTAAACTTGGTAAATCCCATGCACCCAACTGTATTAGAAAAGCTCCAGATTTCTGTGTGTGTCAAGAACAACTGAGCAAATATAATTAAGGTTTTGAACATCTGCCTATTGCTTTCATTTTACGGTATGTTATCTACAAAAAGCCTCTCTCCACACTCCTCTTTTTTTTTTTTAACCTATTTTCCACATAGTTTGTCTGCTGTAATCTAATAGTATATTAGTACAAATGGCAAAACAAGCTCTCAGTGAAGCTGTGTACTTTTATATATGAAAACATAGCAAGTGATTTCTACACTAAATAGACGTATTTCATAAAAACACTCTGGTCTATTGCCTGGTTACTATAGTAATAGTGTGGAATCAACAGGTATTTCAATGAGGCTGCAAAGTATATATAAAATAAGGGACTTCTTTCTCATATTGTCTCATATTGTGCCCACATTCACATGTGGGAAGATTTTCTGCCAGGTCCCCTGCTGAGGCCACACTATTTGTTCTGGATAAGAGTAGGAAAATCTTGGTTGCCTCCACAGTAGTAGATTATCCCGATCTGAATGCACAAGAAACATCAAATACTTTTTAGCATACTTACCTTGCATGACTCTCATGCAAACCTGCTTAATGTGCTGATCGGTTGGTTCTTTTCCCTAGGAGTAAAAAAATAATAGCTTAAAAAAACCAGTTGATGTCACAGTACATTTTATAAGTGTGCCTGATGCAAAAAGTGCTGGCCGGTCAATAAAAGATATTCCAGTCCCTGCAAGTGCAACTATTCCAGCTGAAGTCAATTTGACTAGCAAGGTGGATACTATGTGTGATACACCCATGTATCAAACATGGTACATGCGCACTACAGCAGTGTGGTGGGCGTAAGAAAATGGAACTGAACTGAAATCTGAGGACCCAAGGACCTAACTGTATACAACCCTAAGACTTCTCTGGTGCACAAATGTGCCTGTTGTGAGGTACAGTGTATTTCAAACTGTACTGTGGCACTTGGGTTTTGCATGTGTACGTCGCTTCTGATGCAAGAAAAGGAGTGGTGTGAGTGACAGCTAACTGTTCAAAAGATACCAATCGCATTAAAACAGTACTTACAGCTGGACCTTGGCTGCCAGGCAGACCTGGGGCACCCTGTTCACCCTGCAAGCCTCGTGGTCCAGGTGAGCCTCGTGGCCCTTCCATGCCAGGCAGTCCCCGACTTCCCTCAGGCCCACGGGAACCAGGGTCTCCAGGATTACCAACCTGACAATGAAAGAGATCTTCAGCGGTCTGCTATACTAGTGTTAGACTCATTCTGACATATAAAAATGGTGACAGGAGCTATTCGCAAATGCAAAGCAATGAGTGCTGGGATGTAGAGTTGTTGAACAGCTTCTTTTTAAGTAAGCGACTGGAGTCAGTAGTTGTGTGATTTATAAACTTACAAAGAGGTCTGTATTCCTCCCTTAAAGGGGAGAAGTGGAAAAATAAGATATTCTGTCAAAAAAAGGCAAATGGGCATCCATAGTGACATGCACAAGACGTTGGGGTTTTTTTTGTCAAAGAACAGATCTCCTATACTTGGTTTCTACTTCTGCCATTGTGCATGTCACAGGCAACTTTTCTAGACATTAACTTAACTCCTTAACATTATATATATATATATTACTCCTTAACATTATATATGTGTATATATAACATTAACATAACTCCTTAAGTTACAAAAACTCCAGCTCCCTGCTTGTTCAAAATGCCTTTCATTCCCTTTCGTAGGGAGTACACCAATAGGCGCCTTCGAGTTACTTTCAATACAAGTTATTGTACTACTGTTAATCCATAGTAGTACTAACAAAGAAAAAAAGACAACCAAAAAACAAACCAACCCCCAAAAAACCAACAAAACCAAACCCCCAAACAAAACAAACAGAAAAAAAAAATCCTACATACTTATGGCTTCCCAAATCTACTGGGGGGGAAAAAAAAACACCTGCCGAAAGAGATGCGCAAAAACATAGCAAATTACTCAACTGTGGTATCAGTTAAATCCACAAGATGGAGCCATTTCAGTCCCATCTGTGCGGCATCTGAGACAGCTAATTGCTGTCCCTGTCAGAAGAAACCCCAAAGAACACTCTTCAACGGATATATTAAGAAGACGGCAAAATTCCCTTTGTGGACTATACAACCAGGAAGTTATAATTTCTTTCTTCCCCAGTCTGGCGAGTTATCAGGTTCCCTGATGGATTACTCATCCCTGTGTATGTACTCACTACTATGACAAGCTCTCTAAGGTCTCATTAAGAGAAGAGGATTTTAAAAATCTAGGGTGATAAAACTACAGATTTCTCCTCTACTCTCTCTCTTCCTCATGTCTTTTCTGTAAGATCTTGATCATCAGTAAACACTCTTGAGCTTGCATTTGCTTAGCCCCAAAGACACACAGGCCACTGAGAACACAAGCATAGCTCTTTCTGTTATGTTCAACCTCAGTTCCCTGTACACAGAACTGTTGATATGCTAGTATCATAGCCCAAACTGTCAGCTGCTGTAACAATCCCACTCTTCAGTGATCCTGAAATAAACGAATGCATTCAGCTCTCAGATTCTTTTCTTATGTGACATGCAAGCTTCTGCTCATCTTCTACATTAAAGCTATCATTTTGTTATTTCTTAAAAAAAAAAAAAAAAAAAAAAAGGCAACCTGGGCCATAAATACTTCTGCTTTCACAGACATCGCAGTCCTGCTGCCAGCTTTTTCACAGTGTAAAGATTACAGGCTGCACACAGCCACTGCACTGGGCCTCCTTTCTATACAACACGTACTGTACAAAGAGTGCATTCATTTCCTTAAAAAAAAAAAAAATTAGTTGGCCAGCAAACTGCTGCTGAATGATGCTTCTCTTTTATGGACCTTAGAATTCAGGACATTAATTCCTTTCCAAAGCTAATTCATTTTAATATTAACTGTATTCAAAATTAAAACAGAAGAAATGCTGTTGAAACTCATTCAATTTAACTGTGATAAAGAACTCATTATTTGTATTTTTCTTTCTTAAATCAGAAAATGATCTATCTGACCTACTAGATCTCTCTATTTCTGCAACAGTGCTATTCATTATACTTACAGCTCCCTTTGCTCCTGGTAATCCCATGTCACCCTAAGCAAAAATAAGACAAACTATATTAGAAGAGACTATCCGTTATCATAGACATTACAAATGCAGTAAAGTTGACATGATTTTTTTTTCACTATTTAAAAAAAAATTCACGTATTGAGTTGATTTATGCAAAATTACACCTCAAACAAATTACAATTCATCTGGGAATAAAACTTAAATTTCAGATTTTTTTTTTAAAATTCCTTTCTCAAAAATATTTCTGTAAGGTGCAAATAAGAAAGTGTTTATTACAATTGGGTTTGTATTGCTTATCTTAGAATTAGACACATGGCTCTAACCTCTCAAACCACAGTTACAGCACAGGACAATCTTAGACAGCAGATTGCTTGGGAACCTTTAGAGGAAGCATTATTTAATCAGGATTTTCTAGTTTGACAGAATTACGATATTTTACAGTGCTGTGTTAGCCCTAACAAAACTGCAACAGAAACCGACCAGGTGTCTACCCAATGTGCTGTGAAGAAGCCAAACCCCTAGAAGTTCCTGTTCCCAGCAACCTCGCTCCTGGCTCGAACAACCCCGAGATCCCTCTATTGCTTGACTGAGAATAGCAGTCCCACTATTCAGAAGTTTTTCGTTTTCCCTCTGAATTGGAAAAAAACAAAAGTTTCAAAATCTTGTAATCATCTATGAAATAGATTAACTCTTCTTCTTCAGTGTTTTCGTATTACTCTTGGAGAGATTTCTGAATATTGTATTTTCCTAGTTCCTAAATGTCATTGGTGAAATCATTGGTTTCTAAAGGTCACAAGGGCCACTGTCTGTTAATGAATATGCCATAAGTGAAATAGAAATAGCAACTGTTACAGGTTTAAAAACAGACTAACTGGCAGCACGCTTAAACAACCCATAGTATTGCTTCCTGGGAATCTGTATAGTGATGGTAAAGCTGCATTACTGGACATCTAGCTCACTAGGGCTGTTAATTAACTTTAAAAGCCTTTCAGAATTGCAGAGTGTATAGAAAAAAAGTGCTCATTTCCAGCACACAACCTGGCTACCATTTTTTAAATAGGGAGCAGTTTAGTTCCTTCTGAAAGATTGAGTTCTGGTTTTGCTGGATGGGGCCCCATAGGAGCAGCGGTACTAGCGCATTTCTCTTTCCATAGGAGAACAAATCCTCTTTACCCAAGGGCACATGACCCAGGCATTACCCACGTGAATTCACAACATGACACAGTTGACTGTCACAACATGACAGCAGCCTACATGTCCTGCAGTATATACACCTTCCTCCAGCAATATCACAGTGCCACAGCCTCTTCCCAGACTATTCTCCCTCTCCCTAACAGCCAGTTGCTACATCTTATTTCCAAAGATAAAGGCAATACAAAATATTTCCATCAAGTCTGAGTTATTAAGGATATTTATTATCTGTGCTCCTTTTTCACCTGAATTAAAATACCTCCTCATCCTCACTGCCTCAAACACTAAGAATTTATGTGTGTGTGTATACACATACATATTTATATATAAACGCTTAGTGTATCTCTACATATGTATCTATCTATCTATATATACGCACACACACACTTCAAGGCAGTCTGTACTGTATTATTAAGGATATTTATTATCTGTGCTCCTTTTTCACCTGAATTAAAATACCTCCTCATCCTCACTGCCTCAAACACTAAGAATTTATGTGTGTGTGTATACACATACATATTTATATATAAACGCTTAGTGTATCTCTACATATGTATCTATCTATCTATATATACGCACACACACACTTCAAGGCAGTCTGTACTGTATTATACACCTAATAGAATATGC